CTTGAGGTGAAAGCCTCAGTTCCAATCACCAGTAGGACGAAATAACACGCATTAGTCCTCAAAATAAACAGTTTCTACCACTTATACCTAGTCTACTCATGAAACACATTTATATAATGCGAAAATAATGTCGAAAACATTATTTTTTGGCACTATGTAACGACTGAAGGCGAAGTAGATTCGAACCCAGAGACCTTCGAGTTACTCCCTCCCACCCGGTGCTGCGAGACCCTATCTTAATTCCACTTTCCGCCATCACTTCTCCTGAGGAAGTTCATTCCTAGTCTCTCTTCCGGTTCTTTAGTTTTTTCTCTTATAATATTGAAAAATTCTAAAATTGTTGATTTTAAAACATTGACTCACTCTTAAAGTATTCACCATAAAATGTAATCACTGAAAGCTATAGTTAGAAAGCTTTACTAAATCTTTTTTAATGGATTAACGAGTCTGTCTCATTCCTCTCAGCAATTATTGCACATTCCAACATCGAAATCATTGTCTCCAGTAGTAATAATGGTTATATTACAATCCAGTTGTCGTTTCCGACTTAACGGAATCCTCCTTTTTCATGATTTCATTGGACTAACTATGCAAAGCGTCATGGTGACATCACCCGAAAATATGATAAGGTAACCTAGGTGCAATAAATTCCAATGAACTGCTGCAAGTTAAGAATGTGCAATCAGGTTAACTGTTCACGGGATTCGGATAGACCTTAACTTATTCCATTTCTATCCCTCTAACACTCGTGAATAGTAAACAATAAGTCCATGTTAAGTGTTTGTGCATGCATAGTACTATAATGACTTGAGTAAAAATCAAGAAACCTTATATTGTTGATGAAAGTATCTCACTTTTTATTCGATTAGATTGCCATTATGATCACTAAAGTTCTTGTATTTTACAATGTAGATGGAGATTTTAAACAGATGAGTATCAGTGTGCAGAACTTAGTTATCTTTGTTAAACCATTAGTTGGAAAGTTGTTACCAGGGACGTTATTAAAATTTTTTTACCTAGGTCATGTTATTCATATATGAGTGACAGCTCATCTCATTGTAGTAAACACAGCTCACTTGGTTTGCCACTATTATATTCCCCTAACTACGCTTTAAAGTTGGTTACCACTAGAATACATCAAACCAATACACCAAGTTGTAGTGAGCAGACATCATTCACTTCACTCATCCCAGTATGACTGAGCGGTTTTGAAGGCCACGCTAGCAACTGCTGAAGTAGTCAATCAGTTCCTAGTATTTCGGCTGGGAAGGCAGGCATTCTTGACATGGAAAATGATTTGGTTATTTCAGAAGTTGCTAGGGTGGCCTTTAAAGTCATTGGTATGGTTGATCAGCAAGCTTGGTATACAGAACTGTTAATAATATTGTCGCACCTAGAATCCAAATTACTTTTAGATAATCCCAATTGATAGTATTTACGTTCCGGGTAACAAACTTCTGTTAAGGACGAAACACCTGACGTGATGACTTTTGGTTTGTATATTATTTGCATCATGACGTATTTCGATAATCAACGAACATTAAAGCTTGACTGAATGGTTAGTGATCACTATTCACTATGTATCGACTAAATACTCTGAGATTTTTGAAAACAGGAAGGTAGTAGAGATTTGTAGCTCAGGAGAAGGATGAAATCATCCAACCTGATAATGAAACATCCAAGAACAAACTTCAGCACTCAAAGAACATCAGGACATTGAAAACTATTTCGCATGCTTTAGTTGTCACTCTAATAGATAGAATGTACACTTCTTAGTTTCAAAGCAAATTTCACCAAGCTGTGTAGTCCTAAATGATAATGCCACCATTCGATGGAGTCATTTTGTGAAATTGTCCTAAGTGCTCCCTTCGAAATTAAAATGCTGATACTAGATGTAATTTGTTAAAGATGTCATACTATAATACTTTGTTGCATTATTCAAATATTAGACTGTTAACTTTGTAGACTTTTGCTATGATAACGAATTTCTTTAATCCATACAGGTTGCTGAATAGAATTAGGATAATTTGAATATGTTGGCGCCACAAAAGAAGTTGATTTGGACGAAACATTAATCCTCTGAGAATGGAATGTGTATCGAAGGGTAGTGAGATTCTATACCCCATGAAACCGAATAACAGAAGACATATACTTTTATTACTGGTTCTATTAGTCCACTGCAATGTAGAATGGAGAAAATATAAGTCTTGTGAAACTCATCAATAAGCAGCTTAAAACTTTTACGTATAAGAACATAGCCTTCAAATTCAACGGTATTAATACTGATAGAAACTTTGGTTAATTCTGACACATTTTAGCAATGGAAACCAGTTCCTGCATGAGTTACGTTTTAATGACTGTATTTGTGAAGCTTGATTCCACTATCGAAGAGAAAAACGCTACATAAGGAATACTTATTCTGATGGTGTATGGTATTTTAGAGATTTTTAGACTTACTTATGTAAAAACGTCGACTGAAAATAAAATGAAACTCCTAGAAGGGTATTGTTTAGTACAACTGGATCTTTGAATGGTGCTGGTGACAAAAAACCATTCATCTTTCATGTATTTTATTCATAATCCTCTAGGCTTTATGATAATCACTGCAAAGATTCAGAAAATGAGTGAGTATAGTCACATTTCTTGTTGATAATGCGGTAGTTGTGTTGTATTTACACCTAACTGATCTCTTTAACCTCACTTAGCGGATCATACTCTAAGTGGAAATCCTATCTGTCATATACAATAGAAATACATAATAATAACAAGGAAGGACAATGTAAACGTTTATTTTTGTTGATTCATCTTCGGTGAGTATTTACAAGGCGTAAACCAACGGTTCCTGCTGTCGTGGATGTTATAATTACAGTAGTCTAAACTTTACTAAACCTGTCTTATTCAAAGACATATACTTCATTGTTTGTAAAAGGGGAAGCTTATCATAGGCTTCACATAGTACTGTTGTCACTTGATACAGTATGCATGGCCAAACTGACTGCATAAACAGTTACCTTCTCTGGATTATTGAGGTAGGTGCTCATTAAAGTATAGATTTAACATATTTAGTGGTAAGATAATGGTCACGAGAAGGAACTAAATGCAGGCTGTATATATTTGAAATTCCTCACCAAATTTACACTGAATTTTATAGGAAAAATTTACAGTCATAGGAGGCTAAATGGTGCTTGTTAAAAACAGCAAAAGAAGGAGTAACAAAATGGAATATCTACCTGCTTAATATGCTAATAGTATGCTTGTATGTATACTGAAAACTGGAAAAAGATGTATTTCAACTGATTATGAGAAGCAAACTACCGGCCTAAGTGAGAAGCCAAAGAGTTCATTATCTGAAATCTAAATATTGCGCAAAATATTAATATTTTGATTATCTAAGATTGACTGGATGAAGAAACAGGTATCTTTATCTAAATGATGAGTGTAATTAAACGAGACTCTACACCTTAGCAGAATTTGAAACAAATAATCTGAAATAAAGGTCTAAATAAGTTTCGTTCATTATTATCATTATCGTTACTATTATTGTTATTTGTCCCTTGGTTTTCTAGTGGAAGATGGGATTCAGTAACACGTCGGCATTTCACTCTCTTCTCTGCAGTCCTTTCAACCTGGCTCCACGACTACCCAGAAGCTTTCATTTCTTACTCACACCATCTCCTCAACGTCATCCTCAGATGGTCAACTTGTCGTTTCCCATTCAGTTTCCGCTTGACAGCCTGGCGCGTGATGTCCACAATCGGTCTTCTCAGTGTATGCCCAGTTCATCTCTACTTTCCATTGCATATTTGTTGAGCGATTGGTTCGTTACCAGACCAGAGTTCCTTGTTGCTCATTCTTTCTGGCCATCTGATCTTCAGTATCCAGTGAGCGTAGGTGGCAACCGTTGATGTATGCCTGCAGTTTGTTGGAAATGTCTTTCGTAACGCGCCAAGTCTCTCAACCATCACATAGAAGCACTGACTTGACGTTGATGTTGAAAATCCGGATCTTGTTCATGTCTTATGCTGAGTGAAGTGGAGTGCAGTAGATCTCCACACCGATTCCAGATTAATGCAGGAATGCCTGTCTTGCTGTCTTTCCGATCCTGGCTTTGACATCCTCATCTGTGCATGTGTCGCCTGTAGTTGAGACGATACTGCCATGCCTAGACAGGTGAAAGAGACGACTTCGTTTAGATTTCTCCTGTTGATGGTGATTGCACCTTCTTGTTGTTGTTTGGTTGGTTGGGTATCTTCATCACCTCTGTCTTCTCTACGTTCACCTGAAGGAAGTCCCGTCTTTTCTACCCTGTCTCTTCTGCCAACTTGTTAGTTTTCGCCTGTAGATCTTCGAGTTCGTGCTACAAGACATTAAACATAAATCATCACCGGCGAAATCCAAATCTTCTAGTCTCTTCGTCGGTCAAATAGTGTATGCTCATTTTCTCGCTCCTCACCGTTTCTTGTATGATCCAGTCTAGTCCAGTCCACCAAAATCAGGAATATCATCGGTGATAGTAGGCAGCCTTGTCTTGTCTTACTCCTGTCTTCACTCCACAGGCATCACTTGGCCTTCCAATGTGAATCACTTGGCTGGCATGTAGTATCACATAGCAGATAGTTGTTGAATGAGGTTGATAAAGATTTGTGACACTAAAACCGTAGTGTTGACTCAGCTGCCTGCTAAATTACTTCCAGGTCAACACCGTCGAAGGCCTTTTCAAAGTCAATGAAGTTGAGACAGAGTTGCCATTCTATGCTGTTCTATGATGATGCGTCGCGTTGCAATTTGATCCTCACCTGATTTATTTTTCCTGAAGCCAGCCTGCTCCAGTCGTAATTTTGAATCCAGAGTACTATTTAGTCTCTCCAGGATGATACGGATTGGTATTTTGCCTGGTGTGGACAGGAGCATGATTCCGTGCCAGTTCTTGTCCTTGCAAAGTCTTAGGTCACCCTACCTTGAGAGTTTGACACAGTAGCCCTTCTTCCAATCAATAGGCAGGCACCTTTCCTTCCTTCCTTCTTTCCTTGCAAACCTTCTGCAATAGTGATGTGAGCATGTCCGCTGATGTCTATTCGCATTTTCAGTGCTTCTGGCGGACTTCCATCTACTTCTCCCCCAGCTCTCAGTAACTTTATGGTGTCCAGGACTCCACTTCTGCTTTTGCCGGAGAGTTTGTGTTCACTTGTAGTTCTGTGGCTGGGCTGCTGGTGGTATTTTTGGACGAGTTGCAGGTGGTGATGGTGGTCGATTCAGGAGTTTTTTGAAGTAGTCAGCCCATCGTTTCCTTTGTTTCTCCTCTTTGCTAACCAAGTTCCCGTCACTATCATTGGTTTCATCTGTGTTGATCTCTTCCCTCCCACATAGTAACCTGGTCATTTGATACAGTGTTGTCAGGTCTCTCCTACCTGCAGCCTGTTCTGCTTCACTTGCCAATGTGTGTTGTAGAAGGGTCTTTTGTCTTTGCATGCACTCTTCTTCACTTCTTTGTCCAGTGTAGTGTTTCATAGGTTGTGTTCAGTTCCTCTCTCCGTTGTTCATCCCTACACCACACTGGTTCATCTTCTGCTTCACCATCTTCCTCTCCCTGCTCTATCAGCTCCCATGTGTCCGTCAAGATCCATTCCTTGTCTTGCTTCCTCTTCCTTCCTAACACGGTTATGCGGGTTTCCTTCCACGTCGTTTTCACAGAGTTCCAGTGTTCTTCCACACAGGTTTCCTTGGGGATGTTGCTCAATGTCTCCCATTTTATCCTGATGACTGAGGTGGAGATGTCTTTTGTAGTTTTGTCCTCCAGTTCCTGTTCTGGGTGTTGGACTTGAACTGTGGTCGTCTATCACCAGCTTCCTTGAAGGCTTTCGACTTGATTTTGACTGTAGGTTCCTTGCACTAGATAGTGAGTGGTCTGAACCTGCTTGCATCTGCTCCTCTTCTTGATCATGTGTCAAGTAGGCTGTGTCTCCACTTTCTTGAGATGCACAAAACTTTTAACCTCATATATTAATATGTACACTTTTGAGTTTTCGCTTTTTGAATATAGTTGATTAGAAGTGGTTAAAGTCGTAATTTATCAATTGTCAATTGGATTGTCCCACTAGTGTTGTTCATTAGGCCAATTTTTTGAATCCACTAACTTTGACAGCCCCTTTTAATATCTGAATTTATCAACGGTATTATTGTGTAAATAAATGTTCAAGAGAATATTTAATCTTCAACTATTTATAGGTCATTATTATTTTCCTTTGTATATACTTTAAACATATCATCTACCTTATATACTTGTGCTAATTTGTTTTGGTAACACACAAACTACATGAATGTTATTCCATCGTATAAAGTAAACTCAAATCTTTGTAAATCAATCTTTCAGTATGATACTACTCATATTATTGGTAGAACCGAAAAATCGTATCTGCCTTCAGCGATCGCCTGAATGACCTAACCATGGTGCTGTCAAACCAATAAATATTTTGTGCATATTGTTTAAGTATACACTTGCCATAATGAGAAAATAAATTAAGTTTTATGTGACACTGTAATGCTAATTGTCAAGTCTGCAGAATTCTGTATGCATTTTTCATTGTTTGAAATCGAAGATGTCGGGTACTAAAATAATAATTTAAGGGGTTATTCAATTAAATGTCTCCCTTAATTCCAGGGTATAACTATGCCTCTAAATCTTTAAACCCTAACGTTTTATTTTTGGAAGAATCGGTAAACCTCAAGACCTAAATTCTAGCTTTTTAATTCGACCTGTGACCTGTAAAGGTGTATTGAGTTTTCGAAATCGAAGTGCCAAGTTTCGACAGATATAATGAGCGTAACTTCCTGACCACTTGCAGTTCTCATTTTTTGCCACAAACAGTCTAAATCTAAATCGCATTGTCTTACGTATTAACGGAAAAACAGGAATTTCTAAATCTTAAGCCTGTCTGGTCAGCAAATAAGTGCCTCTCTCGCTTCAAACTTATCACTCCAAGGACTGTAGAAAAATTCCGACTCTATCATAGCACCAATTTTCGGTTGTACCATACTACTTATGACCACAGTACGGGTACGAATATGCGGAAACAGAAAGGAAGTCGAATTGGGCGGACCACAATTTATTTCGTTAAATGCAGATCTAAAGGCCATTTAAGAAACCACCGACATAGCCAATTAGGTCTCTTTATTTCGGTTGGGAAGGTGACTTTCCCATGAAATAAATTAACTTAAGTATTCTAGTTGTTAGAGTGGTTTTTAGAGTGAATGAAGATCTCTAACGAAAATTTTTCTCATAGATTAAAACTTCTGACTTCCATTAGTCGTGCATGATTTCTTTTCGTCAATTCTTCATAGAATTTCGTTAGGATGGTGAGTGCACGACATAATCTAATGGGATGTACTTCAGTGTTTCTTTGCTCAGTACCTTATGCTTTACACAAATGACGCGTAAAGTGGTAGATTTAACGTACTGGTAAGAACATGATAGTTGGTCTTTATTATTATGGATTTCTGCTGTCAATATATAAGCCAAAAAAGTGGATGTATTGTGTACTCAGATATTGCATATGTAAAAGCATCTGTATTTTAGTATTCTGTGTAAATAATAGAAAAGAATGAAGAGATGTGGTCACATTTTGCATAACCAAAGCGACCTACCTCGTATTTTGATTTCCAAATGTTAGGTGCTTATGGCATTTTAAAACATCCGATACAAATATTCAGATAACAATACATTGCTTATAGGATATTTCAGTAGTTAGTTTCATGAACGAATCTAGCTTTCCTTGATAACAGGTAATAGCGATTGAACCTGTTGACACCTTCCTCAAAATGAAAATCAGTACTCTACTTGTAGCTGTGTTACGCCCCACACCATATTTCTTAAGCACAGTATGTAGTCTATAATTAGCATAACGATAATTTTGTCGAAGACATTACTTACTACTTAGACAGCTTGTAGATTGACAGAGTTCCGTCAAAAAATTTGTTCTTCCATATGGACATTGGTGTATGAACTCATGTTTAAAGAAGCTTGATGTGTTAGAGAGAAGGTAAGTATTCTGAAATAATGGGGAATATTTGTAACTCAGGTGGATAGTTGCATTGTGTTCTCTGAACTGGGTTGTTTAGTCGTGAAGCTTTCATCGGCTTGCTAGACAGCATCATCTGCACGACACTTCGTCACTCATTTCAATGCACGTGGATAATTATGGACATGAATTCAGTTTTGACAATGTAGAAATTTTGGATAGAGGAAGCACAAAGAATGTCAGAGAATTTCTAGAAGCTTGACATTCAGGTCAGTCGTCAATCAACAAATGTATAGACATAGACGCGATCTATCAACTAATAAGAAAAATGATAAACGACAGAAAGGTCAGAGGTCAAGCAGAGGAACAGCCAACAGGAAAGGTCTATACCATCAGTGACACAACAATCGAAGGAAACAACCAGTCACAGATCACATCGTCAGAGCAAGCTATTAAATCACTCACGGAGAGATATTGACAGCTAACTTTATGCTGAAGTTAGCGCTGATGATGTCGTCTAGCAAGACGATGAAAGCTTCACGACTAAACAACCCAGCTCAGAGAACACAATACAACCAAGGTAGGTACTCTGTTTGGCAATTAGAACTGAAAAGTGTTAACTTCATGACTGTAACTCAGAGTAACACACAGTCGAATATTTCAGATAACAATATTTTCATTGGGTTCTCAGATAAATCTTGTGCTAACCAGTGCAGAATTTAGATTGAGTTTTTTCTACTAATTGTCTACAAGCACTCAACATCAGAAACAGTGCACTAAGGTATTCAGTGACTTATCGGCCACACTGAGGATCGAATCATTCTGTGAAACTCAATCTTCACAGACTAAGATGGTGAGGATATGTGTTACGCAGTTTGAGCCGCAACTTACCCATTTAATTTAGTCAGTATAGTTCATCTATCTTCCTCTTGAGAATCAATATCACATACGAAAACAGTACTGAGTTTCTTTTGCATATTCTTGATAGCAGGAAGTCTTAGGTAACTTAATTAGAGTATCTTAAATAGTCATAATTGCCAAACAGTTTCTAATCTGTATAGATCATAGAGAAAGATAAAATGAATACCTGAGTTGCTACAACATTTGGACTACCTAACGAGCACTCTGTCAGCTGCTAACTAGATCTCACTTCCATCTCAGTCATCAACAGCATTTTCTAAACGGCATGTAAATAGGTGATCTTTAACTGTTTATCAAGTATATCAGTAACCAGTTAGATCTTCCCGACTCAGCCTAAATCACAATGAATTAGAACGTATCAGTGACAAGCTGGTTGTTGAGTGTCTGTCCATCTCCGAACTCGGAGACGTCAGAGGGAGTTCTGGGAAGGGTTCTGTTTACTTTGTTGGTAGTTCATCTACCCCCTGGAATCAGCCTGTCCAGATATACGGGGTTAGTCTCCCTAAAGCACCACCCTTCTTGTGGTATCCGGAACGCTCTCGTCGATCCCTGTAAACCCCAGCCAGGCAGTGTAATTTTCGTGGCAGGCCGCATCTGTAACCATACCACGTCTCTAAGACGAACAATCTCTGACAAGTGAACAATGTAGGTACGGAAGTCAGCAAATCGGATTTGTAACTTGAGGAGAAGGATTGGCTCTAGGGATGGAGTCAGACAAGCCAAGATCAAATACCTATCGGCCCAGTCGGGGCTGGTTTTTTTGGTACTTTATGTGTTTCGGTGAGCTTTGTTGCTAAGTAACTGGACTCTGACCGGGGTCGGTTGTTGGCGGTTCCAGCTGTTAGTGTCGTATGGCCAGCAACCCGTATGGACTTGCGCTGCGTTGCGTCAGACAGCTTTACTTTCTTTGTCTGGCACGCGACGGCTAACTTGGAACTGTCACGGGCCAGGAGAATCCGACTATCTAATTAAGACAAAGCATTGCAATAGATAAATACTTTAGATAAACACTTCCTGGGAACGGATTCTTAAATCCCATAAAGAATATTTTATTGCTAAACCATCATTCTTAGCCAGATACTGTTTATTGCCTGAAATAAAGGTTCAGATGCAAACTACTGAATAGATGTAAGCAATTATATGGGTAACTGCTCCCACCCTGGATAATAAACGCACAAATTGTATAATCCGGGCAAATTTTTAAATTCCTGTGGTTCTACTATGTTTAATGTACTGTGAAATGTCCATTAATAACTTTAGGAGCAATTACATTGTAAATATTGTTCCAACTTCATCGTTCTCGATATTTATTCCATTTTCGGTACCAAGTCAAACACCGAATATGCGCCTATGCACGTTTGTAGAGGTTGCGTATGTACCTGGCTAGTGTATAATAAGCAGCATGAAACCTAAGTTTAAAGCCTCTTGTGAATCATCCCCAGCTACGAAACACTAAGTCTTAATAATTTCAAAGTCTGAACCATGGTATCTCCCAATGACAACAGTCATCTGTACCTTGACTCCATAATGATGGTTGTTGAACTTGCACCATATCTGTAATCATAGGGGTTCGCTAGCATATAATATACAGGGTAGTCAGAAACTTATTCTACCTGACTGATTGGTTTCTTTTTTGTGTCCTTCAGCTAGGCATTTGAAAAAATGTTTCCCATTGATCTTTTTTCATTCACTGGATACACTTATTTAACCGCAATAGACATGAAGCGTAAGAGAGAATGAATTTCGTCTTCTAAAATGTAGCTTAAGGTGTTAGGAGTTAGTCGACAAGAAAACCTAGACTGCGGTTTTCAAGGTTTATCCACGACCATAAAGAAGTTGGTATCCCCTAGGCGATTTGAAGCTTCATCACTCACTGCTGAAGTCAGAGACTTTCCTATTAAGCTGTTCATGCCATGACTGTCCCCTGTATGACTGGATTATGTGCAGACACTAACCCTCAGTGCGTATCCAATTTAAGTGCATAATCCTTAATGCTGATTCAAGTTTACTGATTAAGTTTGCGATGCTGTAGCGTCCCATAACTTGGTTTAATAGCCACACTACAAACTTGACCGATCACTGTCAAACAACAAAGACTAGTAAGCTGTAGGGGATTGCCCACTGGCGTGCATCTTTCAGCATTCTGATGAGCATCCATGGATTTATTTTAAGGCAGAGTGAAAGATTCTTTGTTTGGCAAGAAAAACTAGATTACAAAAGTTGAAATAACAAATAATGAAATTTCTGAATAATTACTGAAAGTTGCAAAGAAATTCTACATTATTATCTACCAAAAAAGCTGTTTACCAAGCCCTAGTTCCACTTTAGAGTCTATTTTTCTCTGAGTAATATAGAGGATAAACAGTAAGCGGGGAGCTAAAAAGGACAGAAACTTGTTTTTCATGGATAAATAGGGTATTCGGTACAGTTTAAGGGAACACGAAACTTTATACAAGGAAAAATTTGCTAATCATTTGGAAAAATAATGCAAAAAAATGACGATTCAGAATTTCTGAACAACCAGAGTTTTTCCGGCTTTAATAGTAACTCTTTACATTGAGAAAATGAAAATGAGTATTCGATTCCAGTCTGATTAAGTCTCTATAAGTCTTTATTGAATATAACACGATAATCTGTGCATACACATAAACAGCCATATTCTAGTTCCAGCACATTGATAGTTCATTCATTTTTCATGTGTATTCAAATTATATCTTAGCATAGCACACTAAAAAGAAGTCTCACTTTAATTCCATATTACATTTGTTTATTTGATTTATAACATACAGTGATATAGTATTATTTACTTGATGACGTTTCGAGCATAAATTATTGCTCATAAGCATATCAGTGTCTTGTAGATTATTCAGAGCTCTCTTCTTTTGTCTTTTCAGTTTTAATGCACACTGTACTCTAACCTGTTCAGCAGTCGTTACATCCACCAAACTTAAGGCTACTTCTATGCTAGGTATGACATCTTCTGGTTTTAGACGACCTGTTATCACGTTGAAATTTAGTCCTTTTCCGATTACTTTCGTTTCAGCTAAGCTTAGACTTCTCGAGAAGAGATTGACTACCCACTTTGTTCTGTCGATATTTGATGATGCTTCATTTTTAATTTGATTATCTTCGGATGGATATTTTTCTTGTATTAATTTGTTGAACTTTATGATTTGACTGTTTCTAGATTTCTTGAAAGCAGTTGACCTTGCTTTGTCTAATGTTTGTATGAGAAATTCATAGTCTTTACTGTTTACTATCTTCATAAGTCTACATTCCAACTGTTCAGTTTTATTCCGGGTCGTACTTCTTGATAATCCTGCGAATTTCTTCCTTGAGACAAAGTTTGCTGACATCTTCTATTGTCCTTTTGATTTTGTCAGTGGATATTGGAATACGTAGACGAATATATTTAGGAATAATTTGATTTCTCATACAACGAACATTGAAAATAAGATAATTTGTAAAACGGGCTTCAGTTTGTGAAAATCGTGTGAGTTTATTGACTAGCTTCCTAACAGGAAGACCATATGTTTCATTAATGTAAGTGTAAAACGTAGGCACTGAGGTCGCATTTAGTTCCATACTTGATTTGTTTATTTGATTTATAAAATACAATGAAATGGTATTATTTACTTGATGACGTTTCGAGCATAAGTTATTGCTCATAATCATGTCAATGTAGTCACACAACTCTCGACATTTGATTTTTATAGTCACATCAAATCATAAGATTTGTTTTTATTAGTAGTAAAATGTTCCATATCTCTGGTACATGATTATGAGCAATGATTTATGCTCGAAACGTCAAGTAAATAATACTATATCACTGTGTTATAAATCAAATAAACAAATCTAATATGTAATTAAATTCTACCACAGTGTCCAAATTTTACACCTATATTAATGAAGTCTCACTTTGTTCCCAAGTTCTTCAAGATTACTGACGCATAACTCCTTACCGTTTCAACCACAAACATGCAGACATTATAACAAGCTGATCAAGCTTTAAATCAATGACATCTCTTCATTCATGTTCAAATGATGGGCGTTGATTTCTAAAACGCAGAGTAAATACCTAGAAAATTTATCTCCTCACTCTTAATATTCTGTGATTTTTCAGATGACGATGGACTTTTCATTGAAAAGGTTAACATTTTCATTTATGCTTTCCTACTGAACATACATTGAGTTTCATCCCAAAGTAAATGTTTTTTTGTTACGATACTTCTAAATTCGAGTACTCACATTTATAATCAAAAATACACTATGTTTCATTTTTTTCGAAAAATGAGACTATAAGTTGCTTTATCGCTATTAAAGTAAATAGAGATTTTCAGTAAGTAAATAAACAAAAACTGACTCAGTGTCCAATTCATTCCAGTGAACTTGATTATCGCTTGCTACTACTGGTGTAGTCAGAAAATGTACAGAGGGTACAAAAAATTTGATCATAGTATCACCCAAATTGTGTCCAGTATAGCAGTTACGGTATTCATGGTATAGTGACAAAAGTACTGAGGAAAAAAATCTAAACAAAGCAAATGAAAACAGCAAAACAACCTAATCAGAGTGGAGAAAACATGAGAATGTTGTTTGTATGCGGTCTATTTAGATTCTTCCCTATATATTGGAAAATGTGTAACCTTGAATTGAACCGACACTCAAAACTGGAGAAATTAGATTTGAAGATAATAAGTAGCTACAGATTAAAGATACTGATCATTATAACTGATTAAGGATACTATATTTGCATTTGAGAGTTAGAGTTAACACAGTTGTGAGAGTCGTTATAATAGCAGAGTAGAACGATTCGCAATGCTTGTACAAATATTCTTCAAAGCTAGTAGCTTTTCAGCCACTCATCTTCGCTATCAAAAGAGCTTCGTTGAGCACTACTCGGTCAAGGTCTTGTATAAGTCTAGAAAAATACCATCGAGCAACATAGTTTGTCTAAAATTATCCTCGTTGGTCGTGAGATTTCACCAACTAGATCAAAGTGGTCTAAATACTGAATAATCCTTCCGAAAGATTCAGTTGTAGCTATTCAACTCTATAAGTTTAATTTACCTTGGCTTATCAGTGGTGAGCTCAATAAGAAAGAGACAAGTAAGGCTGTTCTGTGTTTAGATTACCCTAACTTGGCTACAAAAACCATTAGATCACAGTAGATTGTTTCTTAATACAGGTATCTTTCATTTTGACATTTATTACTGTCAAAGTGTCTGAAAGAATATAAATCACTACAGTCTTGTTTGCAAGAAGCTTTCCTAGACTAAGACTCTTAGTTGAATCTTTGATTAAAGTGACTTTCGTCATGTTCATGATAACTGCTTAGTCAGGGTATAGAAGATAAAATATACAATGATAACTTTATAGCACTGATCAACAGCAAGCTGTCAGACTCCTCTAAGTATGGAAACTACCTAATTAATCTCCTTAATTCGAACCTTATTTGCACCATAACAAAGTGAAAATGGGTTAGTGAATGTCCTTTGCCGTCTTCGTAAATAGGTCTAAATGAAAAACATCACACCCAGTGTTACCACACTAGTAAGTAATCTAATCCGTGACTCAAACAAATGTTTTTTCAAGCATTTTATTCATTAGTTTAAAGGTACTCTCAAACTCAAAGAGATTATCTATGTGATTTCGTTGTTCAGTTTAAATATCAGAATATTAATACAATTCGAATTTTGCATCATCGTTTGAAATCGGAAACGCTAAGTTTTTTATTGTTCCCATTTTAAAATACAGGGTACAATACACTTCTTTCAAGCATCTTCGGGAATTTATGCAGCTGATTTCATTTGATTGATAATGGTCAAGTAAAGTTCTGTGGTGTTAGATAAACAGTGATGAATTCTGAAAAGGGAGCATCAAGATATAACTTTTGTCCCATGATAAACAACTTAGAAAGCGAAACAGTTTCATCTCTCTATGGATCGTCAAGAAGGACCATTCAGCCTAAAACATCTCGGATTATTTACGTTCCGATGTATAAGCATAGTTAGCTATTGAATCCCATGTGCTTAGTTCCAAACATCCCAACTTTTGAGGAACTGGCTGATATTTTTGGCATATAATTACAGTTACCAAAGGTCTTGTATTTGAAACTTGGAAGTGGTAAACATTAGGAAGTGATGACTATCACCATAGTTCCTGGTATGAAGTCAGAAAGAGGCTGAATTATCATTCTCATGATCTCTACTATAGTTTTTAAACCATCGGTATAACCTCTCAGAAATGATTGAAAGTACCGCAGAGACGTCGCAGAAGTATTGAACAATATTCAACTTTTGTTAACTGATGTCATTTTTCTGTAATTTATTGTGGGACTTTTCATATTTCTTTTTCCCACTTCAACCAGCTATGATCACAGTTTCAGTTATTGTGGAATGGTCAACGTTGATGAATAAAGATCAGTTACTGAAATCTTTACGACCTCGTGATGGATCAAGACTAATTATACGTAAATTTGCCAAAAATGTATGCATTTGCATGTATCCAAATGGAACAGTCTTCACTGAGGTAATATAACTTTACATATTTAAAGCTGTTTCGATTGATTTTGACTACTGAAGGACCATGTATTTTCAGTCATAGTGTCCAGATATTAAAGTTTTCCCTGATAAAATGACCAAAAATATGTTACTGTAGAAAGAGCAGTAAACAGTTTATTATTTCCAGCAACCTTTGACACTTTTAACAAGATCGTCAATGATGAAACGATAGGTACTCTGGGAGTAGAAAGAAACACACAAAATATTAGGGTTTTAGACGCAAGTTTATGAATGGGATTTGTAGCACATCATCTAAACTAAAATTGACGAAAAATTCGAGTCATCGCAACATTCAAACTATTTACAGTACTGACTAGGCTAATGGACCCAACTAATAATCAAACCCTAATATCTCTTCAGCCTAAAAAATCTGGTATTCATTATCCTAAAACACAAAACTGATACATGGACACAGGCAGATGTATCGTAAAATAATAACAGTGATGAAGGAATAATAAACCAAATGATTTAGTATAAAGTCTTCAAAACAAGCAGTTAGGCTGCTTCCGACAACCTTTGATAAACGTTTTGAAGTCGCCACTGTTAACGTCTATTCGTAGCCTTTATATGGACTGTAGGAATTCTCAGACGCCCAAAGTGATGCAGATGAATATCTCATTTGATGATCTCCCGAGTCTTTGACATGAATTCTCATCTACAAGGCATCGGAGGTATGCGGAGTATCTCATTCGTATAATTGGCCGTGACCACGGTAGGTTCATACACCAAGTCCTGGAAATCGCGCACACTGTTGATTGGAAATCAGGGTTCACCACCCTTCCTGTGTCCACCAATCCAGTGACAAGCACGAAAAACCAGCTGTTGCCATCTCAAATTGCGGATATACCTGTCAAGTGAAGGTAGGGAGTAGGACTTTCTTCGAAAAAGCTTTGTACACATTGTCGTGTGAGGATATTCCGAGACGTTGAGCCGACCCAGAATATTCGGAGGGATCATTTCAGCTGACGGGTCCTAAATATTTTGTCAAACCATCAAAATATTATCTGAACTAAGATTTTGACTTAACGGTTAGTTTCTTTAGAAAGTATTCGATTCTTCTCGTATAGTATTTCCTTCGAAACTACGTGTGACCTAGTTGATATAAGCAATACTGTTCAAACCGAAAGCTTACAACTACTAATGGACATATTTTCTGCTTCTTTTTAAATCTGAAGGAAAAAACTATTTATTAGCCTAACACTCTAGAATAGAGAAGCATGAAGAGAAATTTTCGTCCACAAGCCGTTTGTTAGTATTTGATAGATATTTGGTAGTTCCTTTTATCTTTGTGAGACAAAGGTAGTGGTTACTACATTACAGTGATTTGTTGGTGGTGTTGGATAAATGCCAGGGATATAAATTTTTCATCACCCATTTATGAAAGTATATATATATCACAGTGTCAGTAAAACGGTTCGAATCTATACTCTTTCTCAGTTTCATATAGATTATTATTATAAATATTTGTCCCTTGGGTTCCTAGTGGAACATAGCACTTCAGTAGCACATCTCCAGTGCACTCTCTTCTCTGCAAACTTTCGAACCTGGCTCCACGACAGCCCACAACCTCTCATTTCCTCCTCACACGATCTCCTCCATATCACCCTCACCTGGGACGCTCAACTAGTCGCTTCCCATCTATCTTCCACTCGAGGGCCTGGCCTAACGCGTGATGTCCCCAGTCGGCCTTCTCAGTGTATGCTCAATCCAATCCACATCCACTTTCTTCTTCTGCATATTTGTCCAGTGATAGGTTCTTGCTTCGTTGGTTCGTCACCAGTCAGACTTCCTTGTTGCTTATCTTATTATTTTGATAATCTGATCTTCAGTAACGAGCCAGCGAACGCAGTTGTTGATGAATGTCTGTAGTTTGTTGGAAATCCCTTTCGTAACGCGCCAAGTCTCTCAACCATCACATAGAAGCACTGACTTGACGTTGGTGTTGAAAATCCGGATCTTGTTCACGCTTTATGCTGAGTGAAGTGGAGTGCAGTAGATCTCCACACTGGTTTCAGATTAATGCAGAAATACCTGTCTTGCTGTCTTTCCGATCATGGCCTCGACATCCTCGTCTGTGCCTGTGCCACCTCTAGTTGAAACGATGCTACCTAGATAGGTGAAGGAGGCTAATTACTTTAAGTTTCTCCCGTTGATGGTGATTGCAGCTTCTTGATGATGCTGCTGTTGTTGTTGTTGTTGGTTGGGTATCTTCATCACCTCTGTCTTCTCTACGTTCACCTGAAGGAAGTCCAGTCTTCGCTGCTCTGTCTCTTCTGACAACTTGTTAGTCTTCGCCTGTAGATCTTCCAGTTTATGCTACAAGACATTAGACATAAATCATCACCGTTGGCGAAATCCAAATATTCTAGGTTCTTTTCCCCTATCCAGCCATTGTCTCCCCCTCTTCTCGCTCCTCACTGTTTGCTGCATGATCCAGTCCACCACAATCGGGAAGATCATAGGTGACAACAGACAGCCTTGTTTTACTCCTGTCTTCACTTCAAAGGCGTCACTCAGCTTCCCATTGTGAATTACTTGGCATGTGGCGTCTTCATATAATTGTTGAATGAAATTGATAAAGGTTTGTGGTATTCCGTAGTGTTGAAGCAACTGCCTGGCAAATTACCTCTCGGTTGATGCTGTCAAAGACCTTCTCAAAGTCGATGAAGTTGAGGTAGAGGGTTGACTGCCATCCTATAATCTCTTCTATGATGATGCGTTGTGTAGCGTTGCAATTTGATCCGCACATGATTTCTTCTTCCTGAATCCAGCCAGCCAGCCAGCCTGTTCCGGTCGTAGTTTTGAATCCAGTGCATCCTTTAGTCTCTCCAGGATGATGCGGCTTGATACTTTGCTTGGGGTGGACAGGAGCGTGATTCCACGCCAGTTCTTGCAAAGGCTTAGGTCTCCCTTCTTCGGCAGTTTGAAAAGGTAGCCCTTCTTCCAATCAACCGGCAGGTACCTTCCCTTCCTTCCTTCCAGACCTTCTGCAATAATGGTGTGAGCATGTTCACTGTTATCCCTGCGTCCGCTCTCAGTGTCTCTGGCGGACTTCCATCTGGTCCTGCTGCTTTCCCGCATCTCACTAGCTTTATGGCTTTCACGACTTCGACTTCTGTTGGAGGATTTGCATTCACTTGTAGTTCTGAGGCTGCAGGTGGTGGTCGGTTCAAGAGCTTCTTGAAGTGGTCAGCCCATCGCTTCCTTTGTTTCTACTCTTTGCTAACTAGCTTCCTTTCACTATCTTTCATTGGTTTCATCTGCGTTGATCTCTTCCCAGATCGAGAGTAACCTGCTCATTTGATATAATGTTGTCAGGTCTCTGTCTCTCCTATCAGCAGCCTGTTCTGCTTCGTTTACCAATGTGTCGTAGAAGTGTCTTTCGTCTCTGCGTGCACTCTTCTTCACTCCTTTGTCCAGTGTTTTATACATTGTACTCAGTTAGTTCCTCTTCTCGTTGTGCATCATTGCACTGGTTCATCTTCTGCTTCATCATCCTCCTCTCCCTACTCTATCACCTTCCATGTGTCCGTCGAGATCCATTCCTTATCTTCTTTCTTCCTCCTCCCTGATACGGTTATGCAGGCTTCTTTCCACATCTCTTTCACAGTTCCAGTGTTCTTCCACGCCCGATCCTTCAGAGATGTTGCTCAATGTCTCCCATTCTGTTCTCATGGCTGACATCAAGATGTCCTTTGTAGTTTCGTCCTTCAGTTTCTGTTCTAAGTAGTGTTGAACTTGAACTGTGGTCGTCTATCACCAACTTCCTTGAAGGCTTTCAACTCGATTTGAAAGGTTCCTTGCACTAGACAGTCAGTGGTTCAAACCTACATCTGCTCCCCTTCTTCACCTGTGTCAAGTAGGCTGGCTGCTTCTACACTTTCTTCAGATTGAGATGAAGTCGATCTGATTTCTGGTGTAGTGTGTCCTGTTGTCTGGTGAAATCCATGTCGCTCGCTTTGTGGATATCCTTGTGCTTGAACACACTGCCTCCAATCACCAACCAAATCGTTGAATGCACACAATTCTGCAAACTATTCTCCATTCTGGTTCATCACCTCACCTAGCGCTTCTCGACCCATGGTTAGTTCTCTTCTGTGTTGTCCCTCCCAGTTTGGCATTCATGTCACCCCACCCATTACAATTTCGATGTCGCCAACTGAGGTCTTATCCAGTGTTGATTGCAATTGTCTATAGAATTCCTCCATAGAATTCTCTTCGTCTGCATTATTTGTAGGTGAGTAGTGTAGCATTGAACGATTGTGACTTTGCTTCCTTTTGAGTTGAATCTTGCTGTCATGATCCTGGAGGAGATTGGTTCCCACTGCATGAGAGCCTTCCATGTTCTTGGAGACATCATGATAGTCACTCGAAAACTCAGTGTGCTCGTGGCTGTCATCTGGGTGACAATATCAGAGTAGATTATCAACTCCTCTCCAGTTGACAGTTTGCAGAGTCCACTTCCATTCCATCTGCATTCGCAGATTCCTAGCACTTCAATGCAATACCTTCTCATCTCATTTGCAATCTGGGCAGTCTTGCCAGCCAGCTTCAAACATGGTGCGGACATTCCATGTCCCCACGTTCACTTTCGCTTTCATCGAGAGAAGATACATCGGCCAATCGGCTTCCCGAAGGCTTTCACCAACTGGCGTCATTTCGCCTCTCCGATTCCAGCGAGGAATAATTTTGTTTTTATTTCTCATAATTTCGTTTGTGCTTTGAAGTTTCTTTAGCGGTTGGATTTGTTTTCCGGAGTAGGGTTGCTAGCCCTATGCCCAACCTTCCCTCTTTACCCGGGCTTAGGACCGGCTAGTAACTAGTGAACTAGTTAACCAGGCGAGGTTTTCATATAGATTAAGGGCATAAATATTAAATGAATCATATATCAGATTATTTACTCCAATGTTATCACTTTGTGGATAAAAATAATGTCAATTATCTCAACGTAGGTGCCCTCACATGGTAGCTAAATAGCCAGCTTGTGAATATCCCAGTTTCACACTAGTGTTAAAAACATAGATGGATGGGACGACCTAGATTCTGGTTTTGAAATTCCCTCATTCAACCACACGTTCATACCCTATGCCACGTAAGTCCTTATAACTGCCTTCGTGTGGCAGGTGTTTTCACAAAAGCCGGAAGGTAGAAGCAGACGCTTGTTGATAATCGTCGAACTGGTAGATACAGAGCGTCCAACCTGGGGTTTTTGAAAAACCATGGTTCCCCATCGGTATTGTACATGGGTTACAGGATCTAGAAGTGATACATGGTACACGCAACAACTGACTTTGATTCAATACCTTTGGAACCAGACTTCAAGTCAGTGGCTAGGGCAGTGGTCGCTTAAGATAACCATTTATCTCATTCTTTACTTCTAGGTAGTCTCATGGCCCACAAATAAACTGTTGCAAAATGCGTGAGAAACTGAATTATGAGGAATAGGCTAAGTTCCATTCAGGTCGTGGGTTCAATGATTGCATGTTCACCCTCCTCCAGATGGCCAAACACCACCACACTTGTTGCAGGCCAACGATTAGTTGGACAGGGACATTATCTGCATTTCTCTGGTAGTGGCTAGTGTCAGTGAGTAGTTTGTCAACATAATAGAAGCTGTGTACTCTAACACTTCAAATAGAGTAAAGACTTACAGTCACATGCCTCCATTGTCGCAAAGCAATAGTAGAGTTAGCCAAAGAGGCCAATTTCGCCACTGCTCTTCAACTTTACCTTTGATGACATTCAAGAGACACCTCTATAGAAAGTGAGATGGTGGTGTAGACCCGATGCCACGCGAACGACTATCCGGCTGACGATCTAGATTTAATATGCAACACCATACGGGCCATTCAACTCTTTCCCAGTCAGCCGCAGTCACTGACCGTAAGTATGGCATGTCCTTAGCACTGTCATGGTGCAATACTTCTATGAGATTTGCAACAGCCTTTACCTGTATTCACCCCTGGTGGTGAACAGTTGCATGCTGTCGAAAAGTCTGCGTAGCTGAATAGTTATGCCAGTACTGATGGAGACATGACTGATAAGATTTCCAAAATTACGTTGAAAGTTAGAGAGGTATATACCAATCTGAATCACATCTGGGACCCTTGTGATGTCATTCTTCCTCCAAATGGCCGGGTATAAAAGCGTCAGTGTGAACAGGTTTGCTGTACGCCTATGAAACCTGACCTCTCCGAGCTGAAAATGTCCGACGATTCTGTGCGAAAGATCACTGCTGTCTTCATAAAACTGCCCGCATCCGGCGAAAACACCAAATAAGTAATTCCGAGGTGAGATGGTGTGTGTTAGAGTGGTCATCATACATCGTGTAGTAATATTGAAAAACTGACTTCGGAGGCTTAGATATGCACTATGTACGTTATCTCAGCAACTCCCATACCGTTCACTCGTCCTAATATTCAGTAAAAGAAGAGGAGAGATGGCCTGTGTATGATATGACCCCGTGAGATGGAGAATAGTTGTGTTAGTTTTACATCTGTTGGTACAACACGGCTTCCTAGATGGGGTTAGAGAGATCATGCAACTCAACGGCTTGAGAAAATGGCAAACATGGCTCGGAATCGAAGCCAGAGGTGGTCATGTAGCTTTCTCGTATTCTTGAAAAGCAGAAAGTTTAGAGTAGTGAATGCTTCTTCAGATGTTTACCTGGGACTTTTTCTTAAATAACCTACTGTTGTTTTTGTTTCCGTCATCTTTCCCACCTTTCCTATCTTTGTAGTGTCGCTTTATTATTTTGCATGGCACATCTCTTGGTATCCATGTTGTAACAAGTTTCTGTCCTAAGTTAACAAATAAATAAAAATAATAAGTGGTTGAATATTTCATTTGTTTAAATTGTCACATTTCAATAACAACAATAAACTGCGAAGTGTTCAAGATGCAGAGGAAATTAAAAATGGGAATCCTCTAGGCTACTGACATTGGTGTTGTATTATCTAAGGTTCTTTTTCAGTTACTGATATTTATGGCCATTTACATAGCAGGAAACCAGTTTGTAGTCTCTCATATAGCTAGAGAGGATAATTACTAACTTCATTAAGTTTAAAATTGTGTTCATTTGACTACTAAGAGGCTCTTCTCGTGCAACCAAGACTCCATCGAATGTTGGTCATACTGGTGAATGGCGAGTGGACATAGTTAACACAAATGTCCTGACCTTTTGAGTCAATTAAGGTTTATAACTTTAGTCATTTTGTCTTATTTCTCTACACAGCTTTAACCATAACAGCGAACACTTATTGACATCAATAGAATATTCAAAACCAGTCAGCTGTAAATAATGCCTATCTGAGAATTATTTTCCATCAGTGATATTCCTGATTAAAGATTTGTGGGAGTTGGTTGATTGATTTCAAGTTGGTGTGATATTCGTTAGCTTGGTGTGCAGCTGTTTTTATCCATTCATGTACTAAAGCACAACATATGTACCCCATAAATAAATTGTAGGTGTTTATACATCTGTCCCAAACTCGGAAATATGATAAATACGACATTTCCAGCTTAGTATGTCATCACTTTATGAAAGTGACTCAGGTATTCTAACCATCAACCTTAACGCAGACACCGGGAATGCGAGAAAAATAATTTCACGCTGAAACAAACTAGTAAACTCATTATTTACTGACCCTTTAAAACTGCAAAATAATGCGTATATTATGTTCATTTATCTTTTTTTGATTTTCTCTACGCAGCGTATCATCAACCAAACAATTACAGACAGTTGTGAATGGCGTTTAAGAGTATCCAGGCATGGAATAGGCTTTGAACGTGAATTGTCAGAAGATGATATCAACAATGGTTCAGCAGAATTTTATGCATCAAATTCTCCTAGTAAAACTATCCCTAATAACAGATCTCCAACACTAAGTGTAACTGATGAACAGTCGAATACACTAGCTTCAGGTTGGACACATTGGTTATGGCAGCCTGAAGCAACATGGCAAGTTTATGGAGTCAAGCCAAGTGCCCTGAAAGCTTTTACTGAAGCACAAAATGATACCACAAATTATCAACGATTTATTTCAATTTATATCGAAAACTTGAATCAGAAAGGTGTCACTGCTGAGTATAAGAATTCTTACCAGTCAAATACACAGAATCTAACCTCCACAACATTTGCTTCATCATCCCCTACATTATCACCATCTTCAAATCCTACTGTAAAAGTAGGTTCACAACAAGTAATTGTTTTGGAAGCACCTGCCTATTATTTCAATACACTGCATCACAAAGCGAAATATAAGCACTGTCGCACATTGAAAAGTAAGCTTGCACAACTAGTACAAACAGAATTATTGGTGAGTTTTAGAATTCTAGACAGATACAGAGAAGCCTTTAAAAAACTTTTGTATATTGTTCAGAAGTATTCAGCAACTAACAATAACACTGATAACCACCAGTACATTGACAATAATAATAAACCAACGCCATATAAAATAGCAGAATTATTAGATCAGTGGCTAATGCTTTTGGATTACAAATGGCGCCAAACAACCAGGCAATCCTACAAAATGAATTCAACGTTCAACAATTGTTCTTTAAGTTTTAAATCTTCTTTTGAGATAAATACAGTTGGCAATGACAGTAGTGATAGAATATTAGTTAAGTTGTATGAAACACGACTGAAAACTAAGATATATTATGGTTTGTTTGAAAATTTACAGCATATAGTTGAATGGACAAACGATGAAAAACACTACTGGCTTCAGCATCCAAGGATAATAAAACTATTCCATTACCTACACATTAAATGTCCATCATCACAGAAGTTAAGACAAGCCTCTTTTATACTAAGACAATATTTACCGAAATATTCACCAGAAGATATTCACTCCAGGAACACTTTAAATTATGGTCTTATGGGTGATTTGAAATCGACAACATTTCGAAAACTTCTTAATAATGACATTAAACTGGCTAACATTTTAATTGACCGCGCAACCTACATGAAATTCGAAGAATATTACTTCTGGCCTATATTGAGGCGTGTTAATAACAAAGCTGTTGTGGAACATTCTGTTTTTCTTAATAGGGATCTACGCAATGAGATCAAACAAATGTCTCCAACCAATATATGTTATCAGGTGTTCATGAAACAGTGGAAATTTTACAAGAAAAGAGATTCAACTGACTCCTGCTTAGATTAAAGAATTCTGAATGAAATTGTAAGGCATAATGGAAATAATAATTCGGCAAGGTAAGCTAGGAGTCCCAAATTAAGTAACATGTGTCATTCCAACAGAAGTATTGGGAAATAGTCAACTACCTCTGCAAATCCATAAATACCAAGAATTCTAACCGTATGCCTAAAATCAGTATTACATCAAAATATAGAGTATTTTGATGCTACTTGCATCTAACTACTTATAAGTAGTACAAGTTTCATTATTCAAATTGTTGTGTATTCCTATGGTACGCATACAGTTGGAATTAATTCATCATACAAATACATTTTTGTACTGCTTCATATCCCACACATTTCAGTTTTCCCCTACTTTTTTGAAAAAAATATGCATTTAAAATGGTAAATTTTGTGCTTACTACTACTACAGTTATTATGGTTAGATAAATTCACATCCACTAACATTGTGAATCATCAGTACACCATTGCTACACATGTACTCACTTTCTTGTCATTTTCTCATTGTTTAAGTATTTAGTCATTAAATTTTATCTAGCAGTAACCATGTGATCGAATAATAAATCAATCTCAATGAAATGTTTGGAAGAAAAGTCTATCCTACATGCAAAGTAGAAAAACTTTTCCATAGCGAAAGGAATCTGTATAATAGCATTACATATTTGTTTTCAATTCCAAACACATACATATGTAAAAAGAGATGAATTATGTATGCAGTTTTGTTAACCTGTTTACTTCTTTAGTCTATCCACAATAAGTAAGTAAAACCTGGATGCTGATACATTAAATATTGTTTGAAATTTTATCAATCAAGAAACAAATAAATTGAGTTGACTTTTAATCATCAGATTTACTGGTAATAAGCACAACTAACGGGAAAGAATTTAAACTTGTGGGATCGGTCTTCCTTTATTGTTGATGCTTTATTTTTCATTCCTGCTGTTGTTTCTGTAACTTCTATAACAAAAACAACTACTACTATTCTTAAATGAACTTGACTTGTTTGTATAAACCACATATACCAGCACATATTGTATACACACACAAACAGAAATTCGCGCTGTTCTCGGTTATCTTCACTACTATTGTTTTTTATGGAATAAAAGCTAAGAATGTTTTGTTGGATAAAATAGCGAGATTTCTATTGATTATGAAGCTGAGAGATTGAATATTCAACATAGTTTGGATTGAGATTTAATGGAAATTGACTTGAACAAACATAATGCGTATCATTCACACGGGTGAGATATTGTCAATCATTTCAGAGGTTTGTGGGGATTTATTTATTGGTTTCAGGTTGGCATTCATGAGTTAAAGAAACTTTGAAAACTTGGAAGCACTGGATAACTGTCTCCTCACAGTATGGAACTCAGCTGTGCGCACCCACGACCCCACTCCTCGAGAGATCGAACCCAGGGTCTTCGGGGTCTGCAGTCAGCACATTCCGTACCTCCATTATTTCATGATATAGCGCGACCTCCATTCAAGGACGTCGTTGAGTAACTATCCTCATGCTCGACTTGGCTGGCCCCACCGGTCACGACTTCTTATTGAAACTTCGTGAATCACTACTCGAAGCTAGTTACCAACAAGAACCAGAATAATTCACTTTGGAGGTTTGTGGGGATTTATTTATTGATTTCAGGTTGACATTCATCATGAACTGACATCAGGTGGAGAAACATTGAAAATCTGGACAGCTGTTTCACCCTAGTATGGGACTGTCCCTCTCAAAAATTTTACTTGTGAATGTATACTCCATCTGCTTCTGTTAAACTGGTGCCATTTTATGCGTCAAATCACAAGGGGAACCCACAATCCCCCTGCTGACCTATACCTTAAGCCGATAAAGGTGGGGAGACTTTAGTCCACTTTTTCTCCTGTCTTATTTACCACTTAACATGGGTATTTCCTATAAATAGAGAGTAACAAGGATTTATTGTTAGCAAAAAGAATGGTGAATGTTTTGCATCATTCTGTTAGACTTATGCAAACCAACTAGAATATTAACTGATTGATTTTTTGAACAGTTTCTGCCCCAATTGTATTTGCTTGAATTCACATTTCATGAAAATCCACTTTCTAAATCATATTGAATTTGTTCACTCTTTCGAAGATGAAATTGCATGAAGTGGATTACAGGAAATCTATTCATTATTTAAGTCTGCCAATTAGAGGTGTGATAATCATCCATAATATGCATTCAAAACGTTTAAGAAACGAGAAGAGAAAAACAGACTGGAATTCAATCTTGTCTGTGAAAGAAATTCAAAAGCTTTGTTTCCGCTTTGACCTAGACTGGGACGATATTTCAGTTCCACTTTCTCCAGCCGATGAATTTGAAATGAGAATATAATTTGAAAATATCAAAACAAGAAGTAAATTTTAAACTCCTCTACTATCTTCATTTTTTTTAACTAGAATAGCAGCAACTATTTTGAATAAGTTATCCTAATAACCAAGATGAAGATCAAACAAACGTATGGCAGGAGTTGACATTTTCGTAACTTATAAGACGTCTGCCAGGTGAGCAATTTTCTACGCGAACATGAAATAAGCACTCATTACGCTTAAGGAGCCTACAATAGTCAACTACATAGTTAAGTATTCAAACCTCTCAAGATCTTGCGTAAGACATTTCATGTACGTAGCCTGAGAATCACATTCTCCAGTAGAAAATTATTCCATCAGTGCATCAAAGACAGAAAGCCACTTCTTTACACCTCAGTGCGCATCTATCTATCACTTTAAATGCTCTTCTAAAACCATATACATTACCGTACATGCACAATGTTAAATCCGTAGACGTACTTCGAGCTTACTAATCCAGAAGCGAAAGGAAGAATGCCAACAGTTCTAGTTTCGAAAACCTCGTCCTCGCTGGACTGCTGTTATTAGTTCTCTCAGACAGCATGGGTAAAAACTGATCACAATGGCGCATCTGTATTCACTGTTTGATGTCTTCTAAAGCTTGGATATTCTCACCAACCGTTATCTTTCGATCGTTTATTCTGTTACATAATTTTATCTACTTTGATATCACTGTTTTTGTATCCACCTGTTCTTTGCATGCTACTGTGAAGTGTGTCAACTTGAACCCATGTACTTATGTACGAGGTTCTACGTTGATTTTCTTTGTCTGTCTATCTCTCTATCAAAGTGCATGCCTATAATTCCAAAGGAATTCTACTATATCATCTACAAACAGCTGAATCACTGGTAATTCACAACTTTAAACCTGATCTTCAAATTCACAGTGTTACATTAGCATTTTCATGAACAAAAGTATTGATTTTCTTCTATCTTTAGAAACAACATTTTAGTCTTACTCTTGAACGAAATAGTAATCCCATAGTCAGGTCAGATGAATTAATAATGCCGTTATTTGTTCCCAATGACTGATCATAAAGTGAGTTGCACAGCTTTTGTAAAAGCAATCGTCGAAAAGAATACTTTCTTCGCTTTCACATCTTTGTTCTAAGCCAATGATGTTATACAGTCAAATTAGTTGGTGATAGTCATTGTAAATGCATAACTGATTCGTAAGTATAAAAGTCAAACATCAGTGCTCAGTATACGATAGAAACCAGATACTGATAAGCTGTCTATCATTAATTTTTTAATGGTAGATTACATGTGTATGATTGACATTCAAAGTTCACTCAACCTGTACAACAATCTAAAAGCTGAAAGAAGCACACAAAAGAAAAACCATAGTACACGGGGAAATAGATGTCCAAAAACTGTAATTGCCTTGATATAACTGTGGACAACTAATTTTTTCTAAAACTTCATATAATGAAAAATAATTCTGCATCATTTTTATCGATGTCATAACTCTGGACTAACATAACACTCAATGATAGCTTCACTTGTTTTTGTATGAGGTTGTTCTATCAGTCAATTTATAAATGAAAAAGCATTCTAATATAACTTCAAATCGAATTTGAAAGAAATCATTATCTATGAATGCTGTACAAACATGCGAGTAAACAACGAAGTGATTTTATCGACAGATGGCTGGCGTTAAAGCACTAGGGTTGTTCAAGCCAAATATCGCGATGAGTCAAAAGGTGTCCTTGCGGTTCTGTTTTGACATACGCTTTTGGCAAGGATTTCATATTGTATTCGATGATGTATTCAGCATTGACTCGATAATTTAGTGTTTGTTTAATTATCCTGATGTAGGATATTGTGCCTACTTCCCCCTGGTCTCGAATTCGCTTTTTTATTATCATTACAACACCCCAGTTTTGCACTTCATACTCTCCCCTATTTCCACACAGGAAGTAAATCAACAGTGATTGGAATAATAAGGAAAGTGACAGCATTTTGGGAATTTTATATAAAGACTGGAGACAGATACGGGTTCAACAAGTTGGTGTCAACCTCGTGAAACAACTTTCTGAAAGTTTCTTTGTGCATAACCTACAGATAGCACTATTACTTTCGTTTCCACAAGCCTACTACAGCTAACTTATAACTGTATATCATTCAAGCACATACTGAGAACATTTCAAGCTATTTTGTGGCAAACATTGGTATTTTGCCGTGCTAAATTCTTATTTGCCATTCTTAATGCCTCTGGAATCTAGTTATCAAATATTAAATCATAGGATTTGTGGACACCATTGGTCTTCTTGTGTCTTCTAAGCCCATTTTTAGTTTTCTTGTCTCGAACATTTCCTCATGGCTAAACACATTAACTCCCATAACACGAAGCTTCGATGCACAAGCTGAATTCTACTGGAAAAAGTTGTTGAACAAGTAAGGAAGATACTCTTAAAACCCTACATTGATACACCTTATAACGTAACGATACAGGAAGTAACGAAAGCCACTATTTTATCTGACAAGAAAGCTGTTGACCAACTAATAAGTGGCACCCATCCTGGTGACAGAACACCTTCATAGCTTAAGCGGCATATGAAAGTCTGTTAACAGATAGGCTATTTTATCAGCTTTGACTACTCAAACTTGCTTCAACTATTCAACATTTATTAGTGT